TAATACTAACTGAATTAAGATATCAAGTGAAATCTGTTTTTAGAAACTAATTTGATTTTTAAAAGCTTTTCACATGTCATACAGATAGCGATAACATCTTCTGATGGGTAATGCAATTTTTTTTTATTTTTCATATCTATTAATGAATATATATTAATATTTTTTGTATCACTTATTAGTGCTTGAGAACATTGTCCACAATATATTTTTTTATTTATAGAATGAACAACGTAACCCGCGATGTAAGTAATTACATATTTCGAAAATGGAGTAATACAGGGATCTGTTACATAACCGTGATCTAATTCGATAGCTTTAATAATTTCCAATGGATCATTTTCATAATCTTGTGCTTGGTTGGAAAATGAATATCCAATTGATGTTATATTAAGTTGTCTGGCTACATCGCACTTTAAAATACTAATCTCTTCTAAGGGTATACAGTTCCCAAGAAAACTTTCACAAAACTCTACATGGACGAGTAGCTTTTTATAGGCTGACACAAATTGTCTTGCTGTGGGGTTGTTATTATAACCCCCATGTGAACGGATCGAACAAAAAAATTATTCCAAGTTATCCTGGGAGATTTTATATATTGGTAAGAAAGATAATAAATTGTTTTGCACAACTAAAGAATTAAATAAACATTTAGTACTGTGGATACAGACTTTTAATCCTAAAAATCCCGTATGCCTCCCACTGTCTAATAATAATTGCCCATTGCAATGTGTTTTTAAGCCGTCAATATATTTATCGGCCATATCCAAAAATGTTGAAATATTGTCAAAATTGTTTGTAGATCGAGGTTTTTGTAACCAAATTGAAGGAGACTTCTCGAATTCAGAACATCAAATAAATTATTAATTAATTTTACAAACTCAATAGTTGCATTAACATTCTCAAGTTCTTTTATATCTAAAACCTATTTACAGAAAAGTAAGGAAGTTGCTACGCTTTCACTAAACAACTGTGTTGCGAGCTTTACCTTCATTTTTTTTTGTTTAAATACTATACGTTGTTTTCTCAATTTGTTTGCAAGATGAAAGTTTTCTTCTTCTTGTAGCTCTTGCAATTTCATAAAATATCTCCACTCTATCAGTTCATTATCACTGTTCACAAATGAGTACTTATCTCCTAAGGTATTCCTAACTAGTTTGACCATATGTGAAGGATCCAAAAATACCGCCACTTCTTGTTGAGAACTCGGATTAATAAATGTTGTTTTTAAAATGCGATGATCCAATTTGCAACTTAATCTATTGGCCACGGTTAAATTAGCTGGGCAGCCATCGAATGTCAGACTTATTATATAAACGCCAGCGTCATTACATTTTTTTAAACATTTTAATACTAAGCAAGCCTTTTGCTCACTAGATACTCCAGCTATTAAAAAATAAGCTAAAGGTATTTTCCAGTTCCCATTTACACAATTTAGTAAAAAAACAAGAGCCTCTTTAGCTAGGGATTCTTCCTTTACTCATGTCTACAAAACCATAACTCTTCCCCTCACTTGATTGAAATAACGATAAAACCGGTATTAAAGGACGTTTTTTATTTGACGATAAGCACTTAAGATGGCTGAATGCCGAAAGCGCTTTGCTATTTCAATAAAAAAATTGCACGAAATATTAGTTTTCTCTGCTGATCTAAACTGCGTGCACATATGAGTTAACCTCTTCTGGTTCCTTTTAATCGTTTCATGTGACCGACCACATCTGATAAGAGAACTAAACTTTTACCTAATTCAAACTTGGATTCAGCAAAGACGGAATCGCCTAATCTTTTAGACGAACACAATGTACAGAATTTTTATCGAAACAGTTTTCTTCAAAATGTCTAGAACATAGTACACTATATTTTGAAGGTTTCCAGTCACCTCTATTTACAAATCCAATCCATGAATCCCGCGTTACAGAGTTCTTTGGAAATCTATATAACTCAAGTATTTGTATATTTAGCGTTGTGAAAATTTAAAACTTATTCCTTAACTGTACCTACAGGAATAGCATAAAATATGATCCTTATAGCTCCAATGATTTATGTGGGCATCACTACTGATGTAAAATTATCATTACATTTTTATCAGAATCTAAAGTAGCAAGATTGATATACTTATATTATTAGAAAAGTAAATTATGATTAATTAACACTCCAACATTGAAACAAAAATTAAGAATACGGTCCTTATAATTGTTTAGAATATGCTTTAGACTTACTTATGAAATATAATTCCTGAAGATTTTTTCTTATTAACGCTATAACTGCTGCAACAGCTTCTTATAGCACATGATACCATTATTTCAAATTAAAACAAACAACCTTTTATAAGATTTAAATGTAGCTATTTAAATAAAATTGCGTTTATTCTCACCAAAACAGTAATCAAACTGACTAGGTCACGTTAGTTTGACACATGACGTAAAAATGTAATGCTTATTGAAAAGTGCGGACACTTTTAGTAACGTCATAGCGTCTCCCCTTTATTCTATCTCGATGGTTAAAGCTCATTGTGGTATTACTCCGGTCAAATTAGACCAAAAAATGCAAGTGAGGTTACATAAATTCGCACCTGGCTGAAAGTTTGTAGGATTGTTCAAAACACCATTATAAATGAAACCTAAAAAGTCCTCATCAAGCCGGCACCTGGAAAAAAATTTACTCGGGGTCAAAGTTCACAAAAATGGGTTTTTCGCGATTTTCAGCAAAACGGTAAGTTTTATCACAAAATTAGTTCATATCAAAATTGTAGAGCAGATAATTATCTATAAAAAATGTCTAAGATTTGTTTTCCTAATTAAGAGCCACCGTTTCCTAGATATAACAATTAAAAAAGGTCGAAGAGTTGGAATCGTCGTAATATGTATAAGTACACTACATATATACATCACTGAAGCTGTAATACAAGTCAAAATATTATTCTATCGGTCAGTGTAACATATACAAAAATAAAATATTATAAATATGAGAATATCAGGTAAAAACCTCTATATGCAAAAGCTCGAGAAATTGTATCAGCCGCACCTGACGGCTCTGAATTATCGAAGATTATCATCAGACTCGGAGGATTTCATCTTTTAATGTCTTTTCTTGGAGCAATTGGGCATATTATGCAAGGAAGTGGCATGAAAGAAGTACTCGCAGAGATTTACGCACTGAAATCATTAGAAAAAATGCTCAACGGTCATGCTTACGCAAGAGCTGTCCGAGCTCATACACTACTTCAGCTTGCTTTGGCAATTATAATATTAAAAGTAGTTGATATTAATGACATTGTGGATGCAGATCTCATTGTTAATATTGAAAACATATTAGATAAGACTCTTTCATATAATGACATTGAAAATGACGATGAAGTATCAGGAGCATTACTTGATAAATTTAATCAAAAACTTAAAGAATACGAAGAACGAGGACCTACTGCGAAGCTTTAGATACAATATTTCATTATGGTTTCAATTGCAGAAGAGTTTCTAAGAGCTGAGCGTATGGGGGATTGGAAAGCTCATTTAAAATGCGTTCAAGAAATGCTTCCTTATTTTCACGCGTCTGGACATTTTCCGTATGCTAAGTCTGCACACCTTTATTTACAAGACATGCAACAATTACACAACTTGATCGATCCCGAAGTTTACAAAAAATTTACAGAAGGATTTTTCACTGTTAGACGTTCAGACAAATTAAGCTGTGGAACTTCAACAGATATGTTAATAGAACAGTCAATGATGAAAGCTATGAAGACGGATGGATGTATTGCTCGAGGGAGAAGTACAAAAGAGAGTGTCATAAGTAAATGGGTTTATAGTATGCATGCAATGAATACAGTTTGTGAAAGATTAGAAGACCTCGCTAATGTTAGAATGGATACGACCGAACAGCATGTTGATGCAAGTGATTCACGAGTAAAAAAAGATACAAAAGATATACGGAAACTTCTTGAGTTGTTCTCCACGCATGATCCTTTTCCAGAGGTTGACAAAATTATATCTATTGCAAGTGGTGTTGTTGGTGATAGTAAAATTAACTGTTATAAAGCTCGTGAAGTTGAGATTAACTCTATGACAAAACTAACAGGACTAACATTTAATAATATTAAATTAAAACGCGCTGACAAAGTAATTCCTCTTTTAGCTATGAGTAGCACCATTAAAGTTCACGATGAAAAAGTACCAATTGACCCTGTATTATTGTTCCAACGAATGAGTATTACTGCGGCATTTCAAGATGAAATTGAAAAATATTTTGAATATGAATTGGCTCCCTACCCTTTATTATTGTTTGATGAAATTGGAATACGCAAAACACAAAAGTCTGCCATTTACGATTGTTTCCAAAAGGTAAATATTGATATTAACAACACAAATGCGACATACATCATTGATGGAGGATATTTATTACACCGCGTTGTGTGGGATAGCGAAGAAACATTCAACGTTATCTTAGATAAATACGTTCAGTATTCATTTTGGCTCCAGCATTACTGTCGTATTTGATGGCTATAATGACTTTACGAGAAATATCAAAGCCGCAGAACAACGTCGCAGAACTTCAGCAACATCTTCATCTTTTGATATGTTATTTGATCAATCAATGACAATTCCTACCAGCCAACAGAAATTTCTTGCTAATACTCACAAGAAATCTCGGTTCATTTCAATGTTAAAAGAAAAGTTTACTGCTGAAAATATATTGGTCAAACAAGCTAATAATGATGCTGATGTAATGATAGTTGAAACAGCAAATGAGCAATTTAATTTGACAAATACAACGATTGTTGTAGGTGAAGATATTGACTTACTCGTATTACTCACTGCTCAGACTCCAATAGAAAAAACTATTTTTTTTTATAGCCGGGAAAATCTCAACATCAATCTGAAATATATTCGTCGAAAAGTTTATCAACTTTTGCAAAGTGTCAAAATCATGTACTATTTCTACACGCAATAACTGGCTGTGATACGACATCTGCATTTTTCAGGAGGGGTAAAACAACAGTTTTTAAAATGTTTGAAGAACAAGATTTAGTTGAGTGTGCTGAAGTTTTTAAAAGCTGTAATTCTACTCCACAAGAAGTTATCACTCACGGAATTAGCTTTCTTCTCTCTATGTATGGAGCTCCTAAAAAAACTGCGTGTTTAGATAAGTTTCGATACGCATGCTTCGTTAAAAATACTCGAAATAAAAAACAAGTACAATTAGCTTCTCTTCCTCCAACTTCTGCGGCTGCTCATCAACATCTTTTACGGGTATATTATCAAGTTCAAGTGTGGCTTGGCTATCAGCTAAACCCAAAAGACTGGGGTTGGAAGTTGGTCGACAATGCATTAGAACCAGTTCAAACTTTACTACCACCTGCGCCGGAAAAACTGCTCAACACAATTTTTTGCAACTGCAAAAAAGGATGTAGTGATAAATGTGGTTGTAAAAAATTTGGACTATTTTGTTCTGCAGCATGCACTAACTGTCAAGGCCGGTCGTGCTCCAATGCTAAATCATCAACACTAGAGGACTCGTTTGATACCAATGAGGAGACATGCGACCTATCACTATTTTGCCAATTTACATGCACCCAGGATGAAGAAGAAGAAGAAGAACAAGGAGAAGAAGAAGAAGAAGAACAACAACTGGAAGAGGAAGCAGAAATATTTGAGAATTATGATTCCGACGAATAAATTTGCCTACTTTTTTTATTTACACCGCTTTTATCATTTTCAACTCTTGCCAATATATTTTATTATTTAATAGTTTCAAATTAGAGTCACAACAGATGCGTGGAATAGGCCTACCGGGGAAACCACGTTTAAAAAAACGCGCTAAGTACACTACCTCAAAGGTGGTGTGGAAACGTGTACATATTACGACAATTCCAACTCTTCGAACTTTTTGAATTGTTATATCTAGGAAACGGTGGCTCTTAGGAAAAAAATCTTACGACATTTTTTATAGATAATTATCTACTCTACAATTTTGATCTGAACTAATTTTGTGATAAAACTTACCGTTTTGCTGAAAATCGCGAAAAACCCATTTTTGTGACCTTTGACCCCGAGTAAATTTTTTTCCAGGTGCCGGATTGATGAGGACTTTTTAGGTTTCATTTATAATGGTGTTTTGAACAATCCTACCAACTTTCAGCCAGGTGCGAATGTATGTATCCTTGAATGTCTAGATTGACCGGATTATAATGTTGGCAATGAAAAAGTAGATGAGCTAGCAAAAAAAGCCATAGTAGAAGGGAAGAAGACAAACTATAAATGTTTAAAAGAAGATATGAACGCGTGGGCAAAGTCTATGATCGTAAGCAATTGGAAGGAGGATTACCAAAATTCAACGAAACCAGTTTAATAAAAGTATTCAACCGGATATTCCCAGTAAACCCCGGTTCCAAAAATCAGAATTAGATAAGGCAGTGATATTAATTAATCTTCAGGATTCGCCCTTGTGCGATTACGGAGAGGAAGGAAATGCATAACATAAAATTTTAGGATGTTTATTAATTCAAAATTATGTTAAAGAGCTAAATAGCTTTATAATAAGAACAATGAAATAGTGGTTCCCTATGATCTAACTCAATTAATTTGTTTAAATAATTTTGAATTATACAAAAAATTAAACTCGCATATATGTAAAATAAAATAGATAGGTAAGTATTGACGCATTATAAACATATATCCATATATGTATATCCATATTGTCCATCCCTATTGTGCATTCCAAACAATCCGTGGTCCTCTTGTTTGTTGTAGTCGCTCTGATCGACCCCTGAGCGCAAAGTGTCAAAAAAAAACAAAAAAACAAAAAAAAGAAACAAAACAAAAAAAAACAAAAACAAAAAAAAAAACCAAAAAAAAAATATTTGTAATTAAAAGTAAATATAAACGGTGTATATAGTAAATCAGTCCAGTTATATGTATATATACAGGGTGTCCCAAAATTCAGTGTACAGAGATACTGTATGTTGATGAGATCAAAATAAGTCGATTGAGCCAAAATTACCTATATCATAAAGTCCATCGTTTGCCTGTGAGGAAGCTTCAAAGTTGAAAGAAAATTTTCAATTTTTTTTAACACAAAAACGCTTCGTTCGATTTTTATAAAATTTGGTGTGTAGCTATTTTAATTGAAGAGCCATTGTTCAAAGCAAAAATTACACCAACTGAAATTATGTAAGGTTAAAAACCACCCTAATCCTACCATAAATGACATCGTATTTTTTTTTTCAGGGCCGCCCCTGTTCCCTAATTTTTTTTTGTGGAGAGCTATATTTATTTGTAGCATTTTTTCTCTCTTGCATGTATCTCTCATGGTATTTGAGTAAAAAAAAAATTATGGACTGAGGGTTAGTCACTTAAAATTTTCAAGAAAACTAAGTTGGCGGTTGTCAACGTTACAATAAACAATTTGATAATTTTGACACATATGTATGTTGTAAACTGTAAAAATTGTCGATACTACTCATTTTATGTATGTATTGTATTTTTTCTGTTTCGATTTAAAGTTTTTGTGAAGGAGTTATTTAAACATTTTGTGGTTGGTATGGAGTACACATTCAATGAACAAACTGATATATTGCTAGTGCTTGGTTCCTGTAATGGCAACTGCCGTGAGAGTGTTCGGGTATACCATGAAAGATTTCCAAATCGACAGATTCCGAATCACCAGACTTTTACTTCTATCGAGAGGCGACTTCGAGAAATTGGTCAATCTCAAACCGAACAGAAATAATGCTGGAAGACCTCGTCATGTTAGAAATACTGCTGCAGAGGAGGGAATACTTGAAATAGTTGAAAATTATCCCGGAATTAGTACAAAGCGGATAAAAACGGTTTCGTAGTTACCAAGTAAGAAGTGTACTTATTTATTTTTTTTATAGCAAAGGGGAAATATTTGAGAATTTTTTTTTTTTTTGAAAATTATTAAACTAAAATTATCTTTTTTTAATCGTTTTAAAATGCGGTGTCTTGGTTTTTTTAGGCAATAAGTTCTTCCAACTCATATCAACTAACATACTGGTGACGCCAGCGTACAGACATTGATGGACGCTTACCTCATCGACTATCAAATCAATGAAAATGACATTGGATCTTCCAAAAAACACAGTACTGCATCCGGTAGAGAATAATAATTTAAAATTTACTAAATTTATTTTGTAAAGTCGCACGCTTATTTCTGAAAAATTGTGTGCGATATTTTGTAGGACATTTTTATTTATAATAAAATAATCCAATAACAAAAAATAAACAGCTAATTCACAATACTACCCGTAAATAAACGCACAAATGACAACCAACAATCACCTTTGATATAATAAACAAAGAATTAATCACATTTTGTCAGGAATATGAGAATATTACAATTTTATATCATCTAAAATCTTAAAATCCAAACCCTCCGATGGGCAAGAATTAGTACCACTCCATATACTGTATGTTCCCCTAAGTTGGAATCATATGGAAAACTTTTTTGTTATTAATTTTAGGAAAAAAGTTATTTTTCATAAAAAGTTCTGCATTATCTAAAACCTAGAATACAGTCATCAAATATCAAATTTTTTCAGTGGTATACGAGGTTTGTCAAAAAATATGAGTTTCACTCAAGGGTAAAGTACCTTTAAATTTGACAATATTGAAAAATGTTACAAAAAAAACTTGATCAGAATTAAAAATAAAGTTTGACAAACCTCGTATACCAAGTTAGGGGGACATACTGTATTTTTCGAATGTTTGCTTTTGATTATGACACTGATCTTGCGGGTGATGCACGCAACTGCTTTTTCATCCATTCTAATAGTGGAATATTATTAGTAAACCATTTTAACGCTTTTTTTATTGTATGACATGCAGCATCATTTTGCTTTTTAAATATATAAATTGACACATTTTAACAACTTATAATTCGAGAATTAAAAAAGATATCGAGATGCAGTTTTCACTAGACCTTCTACATTTACTCCAAGTTTTTCTTGACATTGTTGCCACATGTAATTTTTTTCTGGAAAGTGTCGAAAAAAAAACGAACTTTTTTGAACCAAAATTGTGAGCTTATTTTAAATAGAACACCCTATAATTTTTAACATCCTCGGAAAGACCATTTCTTCCCCTTTCCAAAAATGTATACATTGTAAACATTTACTTTATTTTTTAGGGAAACATTCACTTTTTTATGCAACCATGTCAATAACTTCCAAACGTAAAGTATCACAATTAATGAATTTATAATTTGGGAGTAAGGCAATGTATTGATAAAAGGTTTTCACCAAAATTCTTGGAAATCTTTAAATTTTTTTCTGACAGAGTTGCCAAATCTTAAACTTGTAAAGTTTTCGTAAAAAAAAATTAAATTCAGATTAAGGTCTTATGGCGAATGAAACATTTCGTATCTCTCATAGTCATTAGATAGTTTATTTCTTCGCCTTTTAAAAAAAGTCAATTTTTTATAATTTTTTTATTGCTTTAATAGGTTTTAATTTTAGGTAATTAAATCAATGTTAACGGTGTCTATTACATTTTGGTGGCACATATCGAAATATAAATTGACGTTTTACATCGAACGATCATTGATAAGATACTGTTTTTCATTGCCTTGTCCCTTAGGTATAAATTTCAGAATAATATCAAGTAATGATATTTTACTTATAAAGACAGAGGGGAGCACCTCATACCACACGGATTTTTGTGGCGTAAGTGGTGTCCCACCATGTTAGTACCTATCTGAATTTTTATTGAATACAAAAAATATGTACTAAAATATTAATAAATTAATTGTTGAATATGACCTCCATTTTGTTCAATACATGTATGCAGACGCATTAAAAAATTTGTAAATGCATTTTGCAGCATTTCTGGGGTAATTGTATTAAACACATGAATTATATTAAATATTAAATAAAACAAGAAGCTGCAGAGAGCTTTCATGTTATCCTGACAACACTACAGCAGACAAATACTTGACTAGATGCCTGATCACAGGCATTCTGACGGGTCACTGCCAAGTAGGGAAGCATCTCCATGTCATGGGGCTGGCAGAATCCGCACTCTGCAAAGGGTGCAAACAAAACGATGATATCATCGAGTATATCGTCTACAAGTGATCGATGCTCACATTTATTAAATGATTTGTATTCGTTGATAATTGGCTAACACCAGCCGATATAAGAAAGGCACCTCTTGGCAATATTGTCAACTACATTAAATATGTAGGCTAGCTCACGAGCTAGGAGGTGCCGATCTATTTAGGAAGATGCAAAATGGGTTTAGTAAGGCCTAAGTGCCGTGAGTTAACCCACCCTCCACACGTTACAGATATAGATGTTAAACTTAACGAAACTGTTGCAATTAAAACATATGCTTCTATTACAAAGAATACAGTTGTTGAATGTGGTTTATTCATCTTTTAAGAAAAATGTCATCGTTTCTTAGGAACTTCACCAGATGGATTGGTAGATGATGCTAAAAATTTTTAAGTAAAGTGTTTTTACTCAGCTCGAGAATTTGCACTATTAAATGCACAAAAACATGTTAAATACTTTTGTTCTACTACTGCTGATGGAAAAAAATTGTTCCTTAGGAAAACCATAACTATTTTTACTAAGTAAATGTTTAGCAATGATTTATTTTTTGTAGGATCAATAAGAATTTTTAAAAAGTATATTTAATAAATTTATTTATAATAG